GGGACAATGCCGTCCCGGACGAGGTGACGATGCCCGGCCCGACGGGGTGACGATGCCTGACGAGGTCAGAAAACCGTTGGCCTGATGCGTTTTATGCGGGCGCGGTAGTGGTGGAAAGGTTGAGAATGAGTGGGATTTGGCAAGACAAGCGAGAGGATTGTGGAAAGTGACGCATGGTGTGAGTAGCGTGTGAGTGTGTTTGTATCGTGTGATGTGATGCTTAATTATGGGGTAAAAACTGCTAGGCACGGTATGGGACGTGCCCAAGTAGTTTCTGTCTTATAATTAAGGCACGTGCGCGTCTGTGATTCCTTGCTGTGATGTGTTGGCTGTGTTATTGTCTAACGTGCAGGAACGTGCGTGATGGATTCCAGGTAGGGTCGCATGTGATTGTTAGTTTGGTCGATCGTTGTGTGTTATGTGTGTTTTCGTGCAGCGGTACGTGAGTGCCTACGTGGGGTTTGGGGTTGTACACTTATTGAGATTCGTCTCACGGTTGTATAACCGCCACTTTCAGACCCTCGGCCCTAAACCCGGGAAGTGCGTCTTTCCTTTTTGGAAGTCAGGGGAGCTGCTTTTGGTGCCTAGTGGAGTTGCAGGTGAGTGTCCGGAGGCTCAGACCCGAAGATTCAGAAGCAGACTGGAAGAGGGCGATCCTTAGGTTTTTCCTTAAGGTTTTGGGGGTTGTGTAAATTGGGTTGACCCATAGGGAAGTTAAATTAACCAGACCCTGATATTTTGTTGACGGTGATTTCGGATGCTAGTTTGTTAATTATACCTGTAATATGATGTTTGTATATTTGGTGCTGTATGAAGATGTTGCTGTTTGATTGTTATGGTGGTCTACCCCGTCGTCGTCATCTTTCTGTCCGGGGTTTTGTTATTCGCTTCTGCATGTGGCTCTGATGTTTGGGTTAGGTCGGCGACGTTCCTGGGACGTTGCATCATTTCGACCGGAGCAGGGGATGTCGCGAGCTCGTTGGGGTTCGGGGCGTGACATAACATTAGGACTTAGGGGCAATATAAATATTATTTTTCTTAAGTTATTAGGTAAAGAAATTGAGACAGAAAGAATCTTAGATTTTTTAGCCACCTTTTTTAATCCTTGAATTTCATAGTGGATTTTGCTTCTCCTCTCCCCGTAGTTTTTCCCTTAATAGTTTTCCAGTAAATCTATGTGTTCTTTATTCTTCTCAGTTTTAATTTCATTATAGTTTCTGCATCAATTATAATAGTCTTAAACATTTTGATGATTTGTCAATTTTGTCATTCCGGCCAATAATGATGGGAAATCGCTAACTTGGACACCAGCCAGCTATTGATCATCCTACGTGATACGGCCGGCGCTAATGTGGACAATTTTTTGCATTTTTTTAATTTCGTTTTTCTTTTCCTTTTCTTTCCTTTTAGCTTGTGATTGGTACTCAGCCCTGGTCAGCAACCGACCACCTTACTTAGGCTGCGAGGGTCGAGCCCTCACCATCCCTCGCTTGTGGCCAGTCACTGACCATGGCCGAGTATCGACCACAGGTCAAATGAAAAAAAAGAAAGGAAAATAAGGACAAAAATTATCCATTTTCGTGCCAGCCACGCCAAGTAAGATAGCCACATCACGTAAGATGGCCGGTGACCAGGCGGCCGACTAACATCGACGATTTTTGGTCAAAATTTGCCGTAAGGACTAAATTAGCAAGCCGTCAGAAGTTTTTAGACTAAATTGGCAAGTTGTCAAAAGGTTTAAGACTAAATTGACACAATTGATAGGTTTAGGACTAAATTGGCCGCCGTATAATAGGTTTAGAACTTTTTGGACAATTATCTAACATCATTCACATCCAACCTAACTAAAAATAAATCTGGAAGCTTACTGTATTCACAATTCACCAATTAGAAATCGGTTGGAGGGAGTTTTCTCCACTCAGAAAATAGAAGAAAATAAAATTTATTGTTTTGTTAAACATCGAACTTGGAGGTCACCAATTTAGGCCTGGCCATTTAGCTTTTTTTATTATTTTTTTTTGTAAATTAGTGGGCTAAATGCCAGTCCGTTTCGTGAAAACTCTAATTGATCAATGAGCTTCGGTTTGGTCGATTGGCCATTAGATTAGGCCCGTTCATCGAATATCTTTTCTTACGTGATTCCCTGCCCTTACATTAGGACGCAGACACTTTCGACCTTTCTTTTAAATTTGTAATAGAACCAATTCGTTCTACACGTGTGCCAGCACCGGTGTTCGTGACACGATAGTAGTTACAACATGAGTAATAACATGGGCAAAAGAACACTACAAGTGCCATAACTTGTGTACGGCGCTTACTTTGGTGCCATAAGTTTTTTTTGGATCACTTTAGTGCTAAAATTTTTGAAAAACGATCACTTAAGTGCTAAAATTTTTGAAAAACGATCACTTAAGTGCCAACTCCGGTGCCGTACACAATTTTTCGCCGGAAATCCGACGTGTCATTTTTTTTATTAATTTCTGAAGCTGACGTGGCTCGCCGGAGATTGGCACTTAAGTGATCGTTTTTCAAAAATTTTAGCACTTAAATGATCGTTTTTAAACAATTTTAGCACTTAAGTGATCGTTTTTCAAAAATTTTAGCACTGAAGTGATCCAAAAAAAACTTATGACACTTAAGTAATCGTTTTTCCTCCGACTTGGCACCAAAGTGATCCGAAAAAAAGTTATAGCACCAAAGTGATCTCCGTACACAAGTTATGACACTTATAGTGTCCTTTTGCCTAATAACATGCATTGATTTAGGAAGTGGTGAGTGGAGAATCCGGTGCTTACCGAGCCACAGGTTTTGTGAAAGCTTTTTGATGAAAAATCAAATAAATCATGAATAATTATCTAAGAGGAAGAGACACCAAAAGGTTATCTCTCTCTTAATTATGTAAGAGTAACAAATGGGTGTTAGGACAATTTTGGAAAGAAAAAAAAGAAACAATAGACACTTTTGGGTTAAATATATAGATATAGATGGACGTGATTAATCAATCGAATTTCAGAAAAATGTTGGACAGAAACATTTTATGTTTTCTTGCATGTATTTAGTTGGATGTAGATTTTAATTTGTAAGGATGAACAAATTTGACAAATTGTTGCTGCAACATTAGCAATGTGACATCTCCAACTAATCATTTACCTAAGCTATATTGGAATTTAATCATGATCCAAAACTTACTCATCGAAAAAAAAATTGAATCGGTGAGTGCACTCTTTTAGTGAAAGTGAGTGGCCTTTTTTCGGGAATGGTAGTCTTGGAAAGTATAAAATGTGGACACAAGCTTAAATATATAGATGATGTATCAATTTAGATAATAAAGAGCATGGAGGGATTTAAGGAAAGCCCATGCAGATAGGTCTAAACCATCTTCCCAAACTGGCCCATTAAACTCCAAGCCATTCAACCATGTGTTTGCGCGCTCTCTCTCTCTCACCACTTATAATTTATACCGCAGATCTTTGTACTTTCTAATTAATTATATGGTTTTCGAATATTACAGTACCTACTATATATATTGTTTAGGCTTAAAAACAAAATGCATTTAAGTTTACCAACATACTTAGAAATTAGAATTGATAAATCACTTATGGGTCGCTCGAGATTTAAAGGCCAAATCCATCCCCGTTAACAAATGTTTTAAGGGCAACATATTTACTTTGGAAAAATCCGATTGTCAAAATTTTGCTTACATATCACCTGAGAACAGTTAGTGCATTACTTGTTATAGAGTTTTCTTAATTTGTTACTTAAGGAGTGCTCGGGGCACTAGTTAATGAATTCTTCATGCAATTAATATGTGTATCTAAATGAAGGTTTGGTGAAGAATTGAGTGGCAAGCTAAGATCGGTACCTTAATTAATAGGATAAGACACTTGGTAATATAATAAATATAGAGGAAAATCCTAACATGACAAGACGTGCTATAATAAGCATAATGTATAGATTGGGGTGAGTGAACGTGTTTCCTCCATGAGTCCCTTTTTTCCTTGTAAAGGAAAGTTACGATGCTTTGGTGCTTATATCTAAATTCACAAAACCTAAATACGAATATCACATGTTTATGCAAATTGCTAATGCTTTCACTACGGTTAGTTTACCATTTCAAAGAGTCGAAAAATGCATGTCGATGTGACAAGTTTTATTATGTGCTTTCTTACTTTGATTAGTAACTTGTCCTATATTGTAAACTTCAAGAGGTCATTTTTTAAATGACATAAGAAGTTTGGTTAACTATGTACTAATGTTAAAAGTTCAGGCTAAATTTGGAGATACAATCAAAGCAAAACTCTACGATGATTTAAGGTTTGGGCTACACTAGAAAAAGCGATCAAGCTGTGGGCCTTGTAACTTGTAATCATTGCAACTGATTTCATATGTAATTGGCCCATAGTTGTTGGACGGATTTGGCCTCCAAAAAATAAGCGAATTAGTTACGCGGTAAGTACATGCGGAAGTCGACACTAAAGGACGTCATTGCAATTTGCAAACAATATGAAAGACTTCAGAGGGCATATGACAAATTTTTAAGCCAAGGGAGGCAATTTGTATTTAGTGTAAATATCTCACGGCAGCAAAACCGCTGGACAAGCTAGAGGCTTGTTGCCGGACTAGAAAAAGCTTCATGGAAGACGCGACTGTATGACATTCGTAACGAAGATCATTCCTCTGACCGGACACAATCAACAACAATAGGAATTCGTGGAGTTCACATAAAACTCACCATTATAAAAGATCAAGACAAGTAAATCACGCCATATCATTGGCAAATTCTATCAAACGTTCTCAATCTTCGCCTTATTTTCCACTTGTATCACTCCAACTCCATGTTCCACAATCCTTGGTTATAAACCATCTAGTCGGGCGAACGACATATGAAAATGATGAGGGAGGAACGAGAATGGAGCGTACGGGACCCGTTCTCTTGACATGATACAGAACTTTGAACACAAATTATTTCCCAAAGACAGGCAAGAAAAGTAACCGTAATGAAAACAATCAAAGAGCCTTCTCATTAATCATAGCTAGCAATTACTCTTTTGATCAAGTCCCCCGCGGCGATCTGGCCTGGTGATTTGGGGTGTCGGGTGTGAGTGCAGGCCCGGTATCGAGTCTTGGGAATGTCAAAAATGAAAAGACTACTCTCTTAATTAGCAGATGCAACAGACCTAGTGGGTAATAATCAAGAATGACAAGCTTTTAGAACTGAAAAAGGAACAGAATTACTGTGAGATTCAACTATGTGTTGAATGCAGAGGAGGAAGCAAAACTTAGGCCCAAAAAACGAGCAGCCTCTGAGAGCACGATTCTCGTGGCTCCTGTCGTTAGCTTCTGCACCCAAGAAGATGACTAACTTTAACTTGTTATGTACATAATTCCAAAATCTTGCCGATGAAGCACAGTTCAATAGTCAGCATGGATGAAGCGCTCATAACTCGTCCCATTAATTGTCGTCAAAACATCATCCCAGTTCTTGATATGGTCCGACAACGGCCCACTATGTATCTTGATCTGGCGGCTCGTCAAATCCATCGTTGGCAGACTGAGGAACTCTTGTACTTCTTTTAGCTTCTGCACAACAGCGGACAATGAATATCGATCCAACGCATGAGATAAATCGATGTTTACAAAAGTGAAATAGCAACAGTAGCTTTCAAATGAGACATGATCGCAAACAATTAATATAACACTTCCACTCATCTTCATAAACTGGATTTAGAGTAGAAAGTTATAGATTTTGAGCTATTTTTGCAGGATGTCGCAGCATAAAAACTGTGCTGTATAAGTGGTCAGTTCGAACTAAGGGTGCTTGCTAGATGTCAGGGTACGAGGCACTTACAGTCCAATTCTTCATGAGATCCTCGTAGTAGAGCACCATGTGCCTCGTGGTAATGTAGTATGTCAAAACCTTGGAAACTGTCTCCTCCATCTCCTTGAAATCATTGATCAACGATGAGGAGTTGATCGTAGGCTTGTATCCCGAGAGTGTCGCAGCCTGCAGTCAGTATCCAGGAAATGCATTCATGTATCAGTATGCGAAGATGAGTTAGTGCCGGCGAGTGCATGTGGCCGTGTGCCCTTTGGGTGAATGTGTCTGTATAGAGAGAGAGAGAGAGAGAGAGACCTCTTGAGGAGAATGCACGTGGGACTTGTGGGTTCCATTCAACAGTTTAGCATAGCGGTCATAGGAATTTGCTAGCACTGACACCATGCGGCGCAGAAGATTTCTGCGGAAGAGGAAAATTACATAAACATGTCTATGGGTGAAGTACTGCACAATTTCTGTATGGTGATCCATCACTCCCTGTATGAATTGTAAGCAAGAAATGCTCAATTTCCCTGAATTATCATCCAACAATATGACAAGAAGCAACATTGTGCTGCATCAATAGTCTCCATATCAGAAAATAATATACTTGCCCAACACCGCAATAAGCTTAGGTAATATGCTATCAAAATTTTCTAAACTCAAAGGCTTATTTACCATACAGTTTATATAGAAAGAGATCTTTTTACAACCATCGATTTGATGCATGCACAACCTTTTTATTCCTGTTTTTTGTTGGCCAGAGTGGTCAGCTTCCACACCAGGAAATTCTTGAAGAAAAAGTCTTCTTTGACATGTTAGTCCTAGCCTCCTAGGATTTCCAGAAATTCTGCAAATTTTCGTGGTTGCATCACCTTTCATGCATTTGGATTAGTAGCACACTAGAGATTTCAGTAGAATTGCATGTATCAAAGACTCTTGTCACCAATTCATTGTGTCTTTGTTAAAGCATTCACCTTATAGAGTTCTATGCTCTAAAGGACTATGGGGTGCTCTTCGATCCTGTAATACCACAATATTCCATCTCTGCCTTCTTCGCACATTCTATGTTCAGTGAAACATAACCCAAATTATAGTAGTTCCATCAATCCCTTTGGATCGAAAATTCCAGTCCAATTGTACAAATTCGCAAATGATGTCCTGATATTTACCTGATTAAGCATCCACTTGAAGCCAACTGCAGCAGAGCACTTGTTCTTCGACGCACTGCTAAACCAATCCAAGTTGTGTGACATTCCGAATTTTGGCCCGATTTAGGATTTATAAAATGTGTAATTCGTCAGTGCGCTTATAATAGAATCTCGCCCGGGAACTGATCACTCTTGGGTTCTTGTTTTTAAAATAGAGATTTTGCTAGAATCGCACTCGATCGAATTTGACTGTTATTTAGACCCCAAACTTGGCAGTCGATTTTCGGGAGTTTCGGGACGAAATAAATTGGACGGTGTCGATATTATTGTGGCCAGCGTCGAGATTATCAGGAATAGTGAAAAAAGTGAAATTTTGACCGGGTGCGAATTTGGACTAGTAGACCTCCCTCGTAGTGTGTTTCGAGTTATTTTATTTTGGCCCTTTGTCCTATATTATTATTTGGGATTTTTCGTGCATTGTTAGATCTTTTTCCGAATTTGAATCGTGACCGTTAAATCGATTTTTAGTTTAAATCGTGTCCGTTGGATCGCGCTCGAAGATAAAATTAGCTTTTTCTTTCTCTCTCTCTCTCTCCTCTCTCCTCTGCGCCGCGCCACCCACTCCCGTGCAACGTCCCCTCGCGAACGTCTCTCTCTCTCTCTCTCTCTTTCTTTTCCTTTCTCTTTCCCCTATGGCCGCGCACGTCTTCCCCCCCTGCAGACGTCCCCTCAGCCACGCCCATGCAGACCTACCCTGACACACTCTCTCTCTTCCTTTCTCCTTTTCTTCTCTTTCTTCTTCTTCCTTTCTCTTCTTCTTCTTCTTTACCGCGTCTGTTCCAGCCTCTGCGTCCGCTTTTGTTCCTTTTCCCTGCTGCCTGACGCCGATTGCCTGAGCTAGCCCGACCTTCCCGCCAGCCGCCCAGCTCCGCCTAGCCACCTGGGTCACCGCCGTGCCGCCCCTTCGCGCCGCCGTGCCGTTCAGCCACCGCCCCGTCACCTAGTCACTCTCCCCTTCCCCGACTCCCGTCCATCGCAGTTCCTCCCCGCCTCCGCAGTCGCCGCTCGACCGCCTCCGCCCGACGCCGCTCCATCAACCGCCGACGCCGCCGTCTTCCTCGCACCTTCGCCGCGCCGCCACGTCGCTCGGCAGCTCCACCCGGCGCTGCTTTTCCCCCTCCCCAGCACGCGAGCTCGGCTCGCCGCCGCGTACGGCAAGTCCCAGATGTCATCCAGTCGTCCGGCCAGCTCCCCAGCGCCGCCCCGACGCCTGAATGTCGCTATCGTCACCGCTGAGCGCCCCCCAGCCGCACCAAACGCCTCAGCCAACCTCTTCTTCTCCCCGTTGGCTTTCCGACGTTCATCGCCGCCACTCACCGTCACTCCAGCCGGCCAGCCTGACGCCACCCGACCCCGCCAACAGCCGCGCCGTGCCGCTCCGTCGCCGCCGGTTCGCTCCTCCGCCTCAGCCCGATCTCTCTCTCTCTCTCTCTCCCTCACCCTCATCCCGGCTGACCTCTCCCTCTTCAGCTTGCCGCCGCCGCGCCACAGTCGCTGCCGCGTCGCCGCCGCTACGGGTCGCCGCGCGGCTAGCCGGCTCCGGCCCAGCCAACCCGAGGCCGTGGCCGGCTCGTCGCCCACGCGACCAAGCCGCACGCCGCGCTCGTGCCCGTGCTCGTGCCCGTTGCCCGCGCTCGCGCCCCTCTCCCGTTGCCCGTGCCCGCGCCCGTGCCTGCGCCCGTCGCCGCGCCTACGCGTGTGCCTAGTCTGCACTGTTCACCCGGGCCAAACTTTGGTAAGTGACTTCCTAAACCCTACCTAGTATTTTGGGTACTTTATTGACTTGTCTCGGGTTTAGAACGGCTAGGGCGTGTTTTAATTTAATTATATTATGTTACAATTACGCTATTTGAATTGGATTAAATGATGTGCTTGATTTGGGTAATTGTGCGTGGCCGACTTGAATGTCGGGTTTGTGGATTGAGGTGGCGAATTGTGAATTGGACTGAGTGGTGATTATGGGTTGTTTGATGCAATTGGCGTGAAATTGATTTAATTGAATGGCGTGTGCTTGCTTGTCGATTCTAAGCCCGGATTGATCGGAGGGCTACGGACTTGGGACGTGTTGATGGCGATCCGTGTGAAGGCATGAATGGCCGATGTGCCAAATGGATGCGGGCTTGAGACGTGTTGACGGTGGCCCGTTGAAGGCGTGTTGGACCGGGACGTGTTTACGTCGGTCATTGGAATTTGAGCCCGGATTGATCGGAGGGCTACGGACTTGGGACATGTTGACGGCGGTCCGTGAAAGGAAAGTGTGGCTTGGGACGTGTTGACGGCGGCCACTGGAATTGATTGAATGGTATGGCTTGGGACGTGTTGACGGCGGCCATTGAAATTGATCGAATTGTGTGGCTTGTGTGCCTATGAGACCGGACTTGAGACGTATTGACAGTGGTCCGTGAGAGGAAAGTTGGTTGGACACGTGTGTGCGATGTGATTGATTGGATTGGTTAAATATACGTGTGGTTGCTTGGTTGGATTGGTTGAATGCGAGTGGGAATGTGTGTGCCGGGTGATTGTGATATGGTGGTGAACTATTCTTGCATTGTCATGTTTGGACTAATATGCAGGGTTGGCTCGTGATTAGAGGACAAGGTAAATATAATGATGTGAACTCTATATGTTATGGGGTAGGTTGCATGTACGACTTGTCTGGGTACACATTGGCCTACGTGGGGTATAGGGGGTTGCTTATTGAGACTCGTTCTCACTGTTATTATATAACCATTTCAGATCCGCGACCATGAGTGACTGGAGACGCTGCAAGGGTATCTCGGAGATCGAGGACGGGTCAAGTACTCGGTATTTTGAGTCCTCCCCTTTGTAGAGGAGATAAACTTGTCAACCACCGCCCCCTTTTGAAAATTGTGGTTCTAAATTGGTAGCCCGAGTTATCGTTTTGTATAGTGACTACTTTATGATGGTATGCAATTATTGTTTCGTGCTATCCCTTTGTCATTATTTATTGTCTGGGTTAATTAATTTCGCTTCCGCTTGCCTTTATTGTTGGGTGTTTCGTTTGGGTCGGCGACGCGTCCTGGGACATCGCGTTCAATGATCGACCATCGAGGGATGACCGCGCTCGTAGGGTGCGGGGCGTGACATCCCCTTTGATTTGGTATCAGAGTAAGGTCAGCTCGAACCAAGATGGTCGAAGCTTGGAGTGATAAGGAGCGATGACTTTGGGGTAGCCAGTTAGGGAGACTTGTTGGTCATGCGTTACCCAGACTGCTTGGTTGTGATTGCTGAGTGATATTATGCACTAATACGTGAAATGTAGGTGTGTCAGGACTTGAGGTTAGTGCACGATCCCTGTTCTTTGTGATTGAGTGCTGTTGTGATTGTTTGCCTGCTTAGTGAATTGTTGTGATTTACTACCTAGGGCCTTAGACTGGTATAGTTGGCCTAGGTCTTTAATTCTCGATGGGAATTATAGCAGGTAAGTAGGTGGTGTGAACCCGGTGAGTATGAGTAGCCGAGGAAGAGGTCGAGGTCGAGGTCGAGGTCGTGTAGGTTCGCAAGTCGGAGTGGTGGGGGATCCCAGATGGGATGAGATTTTGAGGGCACTCAAGGAAGTTGGAATTTTAATGGGAAGGCAAACTGAGGAGCGAAATGCGACTGATGCTACTAATGCTGAGGCCGCTATTGTCGCCACCAATGGAAGTAACGGGAATCATACGTATAATGGAAATGTTGAGAATCAAGGTCAAGGGTAAGTTAATACAGTCAGACAGATGCATCAGTTGGTTGGAAAATTTTTGAAACTTAAACTTGCAAGGTTCGATGGGAAGATGTGACCCGGAGGCTACATTACTTTGGATAGAGAGGACTTAGAAAAATAGGCTTTGAGGTATTCGGGTGCATTGATGAGGAGAAAGTGACCCTGGCTGTATATCAACTCCAAGGAAATGCAAGTGATTGGTAAGAAGACCCCTAAAGTAGGATATTTCGAAGGGCATAATTCCAAGCTAGGGTGTCACTGTCGGGGCCTTCGATGAGAAGTACGTTTAGAGAGTGCGCGAGGACAGAAAATGACATAGTTTCTTTGGCTTCACTAAAATCGAATGTCAGTCAATCAATACGAGATCAAGTTGGTAAGGTTGCCTAAATACGCACCAAGGACGGTCAAAGACCATGTGGATGGGACAAGGAGGTTTCGGGATGGATTGGAACAGGAATTCCGCAATCAGTTAGTACTTTTGGGTCTTAAGGAATTACAACGAGTTGTATGAGAGAGCTCGATGGTTGACGCGGATATGAGTGAAAGGACTGCCGCTTTTGGATCGCGGCACGCGCCGGCTAGGGACAATAGGAACTTTGAAAAGAAGCCTATGATAGAGAATCGGAGATTTGTCTCTTTAGTAAGAAAGAACTTTGGAAAGTCGAACTACTACTCCAACGCCGCATGTCGGTCTTATGGAAAGAGGCATAGGAATGACTATTGCCAAGGTAGAAGTGGAGCATGTTGTGGATGTGGACAGTAAGGTCACCAAGTGAGAAATTGTTGAACCGACAGGTTAGGTTACTAATGCAATCGCGTGCCGACCGCAGTAGGACATTAAGCGAGAGCTGCCGCGGATTAATCGAATCGGCTAAGGACGTAAGGAAAAGTGTATGTTGTGGCTGAGAAGGAAGTGAAGGATGTGCCTTGAAAGTCTAGATGCGTTATGAGATGGTATTGGGTACAATAGGAGATGATTTTGAAGTTATTACTTGAATGATCATGTATGACGTATTATCACTTATGGTGAATAGGCGTAATCGATTTATGGATTTCTGATTTACTAATGACATTCTTGGACGAGTTTGGAAGGATGAGTTATGCTTGGAAATTTCGAATTTTGTAAAGAACCAGGGTGATTGGTTTTGAGAGACTGTTGGATTGAAATTGGATGGATTGAGCTTGTCTTTGAGGTGTATAAAGATAATTATTTTGTGGTTGACTAGTTGGTTGAGGAACCAAGGCTAAAGGACATAGCCGAGGTGTGTAATCTTCCCGATGTCTTTCCTCAGGAATTGCCGGAATTGCCACCTGATAGAGAAGTGGAGTTTATGGTTGAATTAACCCTAAGGATAAAACCAATATTGAAAGTGCCCTATAGGATGTCACTGTCGGGATTGAAGGAATTGAAAGTCCAAATGCAAGAGTTATTGGATAAAGGCTTTTTTTCGCCCAAGTGCGTCTCCATGGGAAGCGCCAGTATTATTCGTGAGGAAAAAGAATGGATCATTGAGGTTGTGCATTGACTACAGATAACTGAACCAGGTGACCATTAAGAATAAGTACCCGTTGTCAAGGATTGATGACCTTTTTGATCAGTTACAAGGGGCATCAGTGTTTTCTAAGATCAATTTGAGACTGGCTATCACCAATTGAGGATCAATAAGGAGGACGTGTCGAAGTCAGCAGTTAGGACGAGGTATGAACACTATGAGTTCACGGTGATGCCTTTTGAACTGACGAACGTCCCTGCAGCCTTTATGGATTTAATGAATCGGATGTTCAAGGAGTTTCTGGATCAGTTTGTAATTGTGTTTATAGATGATATCCTGGTATACTCGAAGAGTCCCGCTAAGCATGAGTTACATTGGAAAAGGGTTATACGGGCTTTAAAAAGGAACATGCACTCTACGCCAAGTTCAATAAGTGCGAATTCTGATTTTACCGAGTAGCGTTCTTAGGACATGTGGTATCTGGTGAAGGGATCGCAGTGGATCCGACAAAGATTGAAGTCGTCATAAATTGACCAAGACCGATAACGGTAATCGAGGTTCGGAGGTTCTTGGATCTGGCAGGTTATTATAGACGTTTCGTGGAAAGGGTTTTAGCGTTAGCGACACCGTGGACGCGTTTGCTAAGAAGGAAACGAAGTTTGAATGGACGGATAAGTACAAAAGGAGTTTTCAGGATTAAAACAGAGTTTGATGACTAAGGCAACATGGAAGGGTGGTAGTATACGCATCGCGACAGTTGAGATCGCATGAGATGAATTACCCGACGCATGACTTAGAATTGGTCGCGATTATTTTCGCTCTTAAGATTTGGAGACACTACCTGTGTGGGGAGAAATTTCAAATTTATACGGACCATCAAAGTCTAAGGTACTTGTTTTCTCAAAAGGAATTAAACATGAGACAGCGCCGTTGGATGGAACTCCTTAAGGACTACGACTGCGATATTTTATATCACCCCGGAAAGGCTAATAAGGTAGCGGATGCATTGAGTTGGAAATCGAGCATCGCGCATATGATGGTCAAAGAATGGACCTTGTTGGAGGGAGTCCGGGATTTAGAGTTTAAGTTTGAAGTGAGCCATGTTTTCAAGTCTACTTGCCGCATTGAGGATTGAACCAGAAATTCAGACTAAAATTAAGGCTTTACAATCTACGGACCCAGAGATTCAGAAGATTTTGATGTATGGATGCCACAAAAAGGAAATCGGATTTTCAGGTATCCGAGGATGGGATTCTAAAGTTCCGTGGATGGTTATGTGTGCCAAGTGATACAGAATTGAAGGAAGAGATTTTGTTTGAAGCACACCGTAGTACGTATAGTATTCACCCGGGGAGTACAAAAATGTATTAGAATTTACAGTATTATTATTGGTGGAACGGCGTGAAAGTGAACGTGGCCAAGCATGTGGCTAAGTGTTTCACATGCCAATAAGTGAAGGCGCAACATCGCAAGCCAGGTGGAATGTTGCAGCCATTGGAAATCCTCGAGTGGAAATGGGAACATATCACGATGAACTTCGTCATAGGATTACCGAGGAGCCAGAGGGGCCATGATTCGATTTGGGTGATAGTGGATTGGTTGACAAAGTCAGCACATTTCCTACTAGTGCGAAAGGATTTTGCCTCGGAAAGGTATGCCAATTTGTATGTGCGATACATAATCCGTCTCCATGGAGTACTAGTAACGATCACCTCGGACCGTGATCCTAAGTTTACCGCCGCTTTTTGGAAAAGTCTTCATATGGCATTAGGAACGAGATTACAGTTTAGCACAGCCTATCATTCGCAGACGGATGGCGAGTCTGAGAGGACGATTCAGACTTTGGAAGATATGGTGCGAGCATGTGTATTGGATTTTAGGGAAAGTTAGAAAGAATAATTGCCCTTGGTTGAGCTTGCCTATAACAATAGCTATCAGCAGAGTATTAGAATGGTACCGTTTGGGGCATTGTATGGTAGGTTTTGCAGAACACCGGTTTGTTGGGATGAAGTGGGTGAGAGGAGCATCACGGGTCCCTAGTTGGTTCAGCGGTCAATCGAAACAGTTCAGGTGATTCGGGACAGGCTTAAGACCGCTCAGAGCCGTCAAAAGAATTATGCGGACCGGAGACGTAGGCCTTTGGAGTTTTGAGTAGGGGACCACGTATTCCTCAAGGTGTCGCCGATGAGAGGAATGTCACGGTTTGGTAAGAAAGGAAAATTGAGCCCGAGGTACGTGGGCCCATTCGAGGTCTTAGAGACAATCGGCACCTTGGCTTATCGTCTCGCGCTATCGCCAAATTTATCTCATGTTCATAATGTGTTCCACGTGTATATGTTGAGGAAGTACGAACCGGACCCGACCCACGTGCTGAACTATGAAGAAATAGGCGTGGACGACAGGGTGTCGTACGTGGAAAAGCCAGTTCGGATCGAGGACATAATAGAAAGAGTGTTGCGGAACAAGAAAATTCCGATGGTCAAAGTAATTTGGGAACACCATGGAACAGAAGGTGCAACGTGGGAAAGTGAAGAGTTGATGTGATACCAGTACCCCCATTTGTTTGAATAGTTGGGTTGGATTGTAAATTTCGAGGACGAAATTTTTGTAAGGGGGAAGAGTTGTGACATTCCGAATTTTGGCCCGATTTGGGATTTATAAAACGTGTAATTCATCAGTGTGCTTATAATAGAATCTCGCCCGGGAACTGATCACTCTCGGGTTCTTGTTTTTAAAATAGAGATTTTGCTAGAATCGCACTCGATCAAATTTGGCCGTTATTTAGATCCCAAACTTGGCAGTCGATTTTCGGGAGTTTCGGGACGAAATAAATTGGACTGTGTCGATATTATTGTGGCCAGCATCGAGATTATCAGGAATAGTGAAAAAAGTGAAATTTTGACCGGGTGCGAATTTGGACTAGTAGACCTCCCTCGTAGTGTGTTTCGAGTTATTTTATTTTGGCCATTTGTCCTATATTATTATTTGGGATTTTTCGTGGACTGTTAGATCTTTTTCCGAATTTGAATCGTGACCGTTAAATCGATTTTTAGTTTAAATCGTGTCCGTTGGATCGCGCTCAAAGATAAAATTAGCTTTTTCTTTCTCTCTCTCTCCTCTCTCCTCTGCGCCGCGCCGCCCACTCCCATGCAACGTCCCCTCGCGCACGTCTCTCTCTCTCTCTCTCCCTCTCTCTTTCTTTTCCTTTCTCTTTCCCCTCTGGCCGCGCACGTCTTCCCCCCTGCAGACGTCCCCTCAGCCACGCCCATGCAGACCTACCCTGACACACTCTCTCTCTTCCTTTCTCCTTTTCTTCTCTTTCTTCTTCTTCCTTTCTCTTCTTCTTCTTCTTTGCCGCGTCTGTTCCAGCCTCTGCGTTCGCTTTTGTTCCTTTTCCCTGCTGCCCGACGCCGATTGCCTGAGCTCGCCCGACCTTCCCGCCAGCCGCCCAGCTCCGCCTGGCCACCTGGGTCACCGCCGTGCCGCCCCTTCGCGCCGCCGTGCCGTTCAGCCACCGCCCCGTCACCTAGTCACTCTCCCCACCCCCGACTCCCGTCCACCGTAGCTCCTCCCCGCCTCCGCAGTCGCCGCTCGACCGCCTCCGCCCGACGCCGCTCCACCAGCCGCCGACGCCGCCGTCTTTCTCGCGCCTTCGCCGCGCCACCGCGTCGCTCGGCAGCTCCGCCCGGCTCTGCCTTTCCCCCTCCCGAGCGCGCGAGCTCGGCTCGCCGCCGCTCGCTGCCCCGTACGGCGAGTCCCAGCCGTCGTCCAGTCGTCCGGCCAGCTCCCCAGCGCAGCCCCGACGCCTGAGTGTCGCTGTCGTCACCGCCAAGCGCCCCCCAGCCGCACCAAATGCCTCAGCCAACCTCTTCTTCTCCCCGTTGGCTTTCCGACGTTCGTCGCCGCCGCTCGCCGTCGCTCCAGCCGGCCAGCCTGACGCCACCCGACCCCGCCAGCAGCCGCGCCGTGCCGCTCCGTCGCCACCGGTTCGCCCCTCCGCCTCAGCCCGATCTCTCTCTCTCTCTCTCTCCCCCTCACCCTCATCCCGGCTGACCTCTCCCTCTTCAGCTCGCCGCCGCCACGCCACCGTGCGTCGCCGCGTCGCCGCCAGCAGTCGCGGGCGCCAGCCACCACCACTGGCCGGCCCAACCCAGCCGTGGCCGGCTCGTCGCCCATGCGACCAAACCGCGCGCCCGCGCCCATGCCCGTTGCCCGTTGCCGCGCCTCGCGTGCTGCGTTGCCCGCGCCGTGTCCGCGCCCGTGCCCCTTGCCCGTGCCTGCGCCCGTCGCCGGGCCCGCGCGTGTGCCTAGTCTGCACTGTTCACCCGAGCCATTTTAGGCCCGAGCCGACTTTTTCCGGGCCAAACTTAGATAAGTGACTTCCTAAACCCTACCTAGTATTTTGGGTACTTTATTGACTTGTCTCGAGTTTAGAACGGCTAGGGCGTGTTTTAATTCAATGATATTATGTTACAATTATGCTATTTGAATTGGATTAAATGATGTGCTTGATTTGAGTAATTGTACGTGGCCGACTTGAATGTCGGGTTTGTGGATTGAGGTGGTGAATTGTGAATTGGACTGAGTGGTGATTATGGGTTGTTTGATGCAATTGGCGTGAAATTGATTTAATTGAATGGCGTGTGCTTGCTTGTCGATTCTAAGCCCGGATTGATCGGAGGGCTACGGACTTGGGACGTGTTGACGGCGGTCCGTGTGAAGGCATGAATGGCCGATGTGCCAAATGGATGCGGGCTTGAGACGTGTTGATGGTGGCCCGTTGAAGGCGTGTTGGACCGGGACGTGTTTACGTCGGTCATTGGAATTTGAGCCCGGATTGATCGGAGGGCTACGGACTTGGGACGTGTTGACGGCGGTCCGTGAAAGGAAAGTGTGGCTTGGGACGTGTTGACGGCGGCCACTGGAATTGATTGAATGGTATGGCTTGGGACGTGTTGACGGCGGCCATTGAAATTGATCGAATTGTGTGGCTTATGTGCCTATGAGACCGGACTTGAGACGTGTTGACAGTGGTCCGTGAGAGGAAAGTTGGTTGAACACGTGTGTGCGATGTGATTGATTGGATTGGTTAAATGTACGTGTGGTTGCTTGGTTGGATTGGTTGAATGCGAGTGGGAATGTGTGTGCCGGGTGATTGTGATATGGTGGTGAACTATTCTTGCATTGTCATGTTTGGACTAATATGCAGGGTTGGCTCGTGATTCGAGGGCAAGGTAAGTATAATGATGTGAACTCTATATGTTATGGGGTAGGTTGCATGTACGACTTGTCTGGGTACGCATTGGCCTACGTGGGGTATAGGGGGTTGCTATTGAGACTCGTTCTCACAGTTATTATATAACCATTTTAGATCCGCGACCATGAGTGACTGGAGACGCTGCAAGGGTATCTCGGAGATCGAGGACGGGTCAAGTACTCGGTATTTTGAGTCCCCCCCTTTTTAGAGGAGATAAGCTTGTCAATCACCACCCCCTTTTGAAAATTGTGGTTCTAAATTGGTAGCCCGAGTTATCGTTTTGTATAGTGACTACTTTATGATGGTATGCAATTATTGTTTCGTGCTATCCCTTTGTCATTATTTATTGTCTGGGTTAATTAATTTCGCTTCCGCTTGCCTTTATTGTTGGGTGTTTCGTTTGGGTTGGCGACGCGTCCTGGGACGTCGCGTTCAATGATCGACCATCGAGGGATGACCGCGCGCTCATAGGGTGCGGGGCGTGACAAGTTGTAAACTTTGTCAAGAGTCTGTAAAATCGTGGAAACATTCTTCCTCCTATCCATGACGAAGAAAATCTCCCCATTGGAGCTCACGTTGGCGTGGCTATTTAGGAGTGTCTCGAACCACCCACTTCCCGATCTCTGTGTCGACACAATAACGAAATATCGCACTGGATTATCTGCACATTCAGCCCTGGTAATAATTAAAACCGAAATCAGGCGAAACCCAGTGAATCATCATCCCATCAAAAACAAAATTCTAGTTTTGTTTTGTCATCTATTACCTGCTAAAAGTTTTGGGTTTTGGATAATGGATTGAAGGTTTATCAGATTGTTTTATGCCATGAAGCTCGCAAGGTTCCTCGGTGATTTGGATGTTCAAAAGATTTGGCTTGGCGCGGCGGCTTATTTGCTTCAGACAGATTGAGCATATATACACCCCACAGAACATTGAAAATGCCAAAACTATCATCCTATATACTAGAGGTGATTTCTTCCGAGGTTTAACCATTAAAGTGTCCTGTCAAGCATAAAAAAACAGAGTAAATGCCATCAGACAAAGAAAAAAATTGATCATTCATCGGACAGAAACGTGATAATCTCCTCACAATCTGGTGTTAGCAATAACAATCACAAAACTATGCAGGGACAATAACTAGAGGAAATCAATGCAAGTTGAGGTAAATACAATTAATTAGGCAGTGAAGGGCAAGAATTAAAGGAGGGTTTTAAGTTCTGACCCAGAAGTAATTCAGTGAACTACCCAAAAATCGTAAGAGTGCAGCAAATTGATTAGCACAACAAGATCGCTATAATTCGAGAATAGACATGTCCGATCTCAAGTTGAGTTCTCGTTCTCGTCCCCGCTCACGAAGACACGAAAGTAAGAACAATGGATCAGCTTCTTCCACAAACCAATACCACTTCATACGCCCAAAAAAAGCAACAATTTTTGCACAAAGTACAGTGAAAAACTGACTTTTCAAGAACACCCATCTCCCTCCGGCCAAGAAAGATAACACCCGTCTCTCCTTCGGGCCAAAAAACACAGAATCCAATCACATTCAACAGAGCTAATCAATTTACAAGAAAAAAGAAACAGAGAGAGAGGAAAAGATCGCACCTTGTTTAAGAAATATATGACCTCCGCCATTGCTAGGAACCTGGAACACACGACGAGAAGACAGAAGGGTTATGCATCGCAAAGATGGAAAATTTTCCCTAGTAAAGCACAGATTTTTCTTCTGCTTCTTCTCCGTATACAGCGAGTTCTGAGGACACAGAGTCAAGAGACTCGGAGAGAGAGAGAGACAGGGGGGGCGGCTCAGTCAGCAGCAGCAAGCCAGCAGCAGCAGTGCGTTTTTCATATGTTGGTGCCTCGTGGAAATCAAAGCCATCGGTACCATCACCTTTCTTTTTTGTCCTGTTCCTGAATATTTTTAATTATCTGGAGAATACTGGCCGAAAAGATTAATAGCAATGATGATTTTTTTTCAAATTGTTGCGTGATTTGACTGTAACAGCCCGAATTTCGATGTAATTCCGGGATCAATAAAATTGACAATATTTCGCATTTCATTTTGGTAAGTCTCGCCCGGAGCTGATCACTCTTGGGATACTAACCAATGGGGTATGGCTAACTAGGAAACGGTACGTGGACCAGGGACTCGATAGTGAACGGGACACCGATCTCGAGATATGATGAGGGAATATTTTGGGCCAACGTGGGCCGATCTTAGGAAAGGTGATGGATTTGGTTTGGCCATGGCCAACGATGTACAATCGGATCGCAGGTGATTCTGCAAGACCGAAAGTGCACGTGACCAACCAGCCCTGAACCTGAACCGAAAGATCGCGACCTCTGGAACTAGTGATGATTTCTCATTCTCTCAATGATCGGAACCGTTGTAAGTCGAATAACCCTAGGTCGATACGCGTAGATCCTAAACAGCCGCCCGTTAGTGAGAGACCCTGAAATTGAAAGTTTAGCGAGTTTTGTTCATGGAAATGGGCCCGGATTTCGATGCCGATTTTCGAAAGCTTAAGAGACTATTTTTGGGAATCTGACGTCGTATTACGCTGGCGACACACGTTTGGAGTTAGTACGAGTAAAAAGTGGAATTTCGGTCCGGGGGTGAAAAATTACGGTTTTGCCCCTGTGGGCACCGAGGTTGGATTCTGAGGCCGTTTGAGGTTATTTTTCGCGGCCAAGATCATTTTGGGGTGGCCACACACATTTAGAGTGGTTTTGGCCAAAAATTGGAATTTCGACAAAAATTGGAAAAATAATATTATTTTATTCCCGAAACTTCGCAGTTGATTTTCGGGGGCTTAGAAAGTGAATTTCGTGAATCCGACGCCATATTATGTTGGCCACGCACATATGGAACACGTATGTGCGAAAATTGGAATTTCGCCCCGGGACCGGAAAAATGACAGTTTTGCCCCTGGGCTATTTTCGGGTCCGAATTTTTGGGAAATTTTCGGGATAAGCAACTGTGGTTATCAGCTGCATTATTGGCACCAAAGACCCAATTGCCCCTCAATTATTTAAGCCTATCTCTTTAGAACCGTTAGATTAGGGGCGTTTTGGTCATTTTTCACGGATTGGCGACACGTGGCGCCCCTTGGCTGCCATGTTTGACCAGATAAGACTCTCTCTCTCTCCTCTCACCCTCACTCATGGCAGAACCACCCCCAGCAGCCCCCACCAGCTCTTTCTCTCCCATTTTCTCTCTTTTCCCTCATGGTTTTGTCTTACCGGAGCTCGCCACCGGCCACCGGAGCGCCGCCGCCGGCTGCCGTGCCTCGCCGTCGACCACCTCAGCCCCCAGCCTGAGCCTCGCCTCCGTCTGACCCCTTTCCCTCTCTCTTTCCCTCTCTTTTCCTCTCTTTTCCTCTCCCGGTTTAGCACCGCCACCGCGTCGGAGCCTCGCTGGAGCTTCACCGGAGCTCGGATCGCCGTTCCGTCGCCACCCAGCCGTCCAGCCTCACCGTACGACGCCGACCGTCACCGTCCCCGTACGGTGTCCGTACGGTCGGTACTGTAGCGTCCGTACGCCGCCGTCCGTACGGCCCGCCGTGCCGTCGCCGCCACTTTGCCGGCCACCGTTTCCGCCGTCCGTACAAGTCCGTACCGCGTGAACAGTACTCCGTGAACAGTGCGCGTGAACAGTACGCGCCGCCGGGAATTCCGCCGCCGGTTTCACTGTTCATCAGTGATCGGCCGCCGTTCCTCGTCGTCGTGATCTTGGATTAAGTGAGTAAAATTTCTAAACTCGGATTAGGACTGTTAGTGCGTTTTTCTGGACTGGGTTAGGTATTATCGGTACAATTTAGACTGGCTTAGATGGTATCAGTGTGTATTTCAGACTGGGTTGAGGACGGATTGGTAGAAATTATCATTTGGAAATTTAGTGGACTAATGAGAATTATTTGGGGAGATTAATTGGATTAAATGACCAATTTAGGAGCCCGTTGGAAAATTACCGGGTATGTCCGGGTTGACTGATTGTACGTCAATTGTGCTTAATTGTGATTGATTTCGTACTGCTATGTCGTATGTGGTGTGGCTGATTTTATGGAGTGCGATTGGCCATTGTTTGGTTTACAATGATTTACTGATTTGTGAATCGCACGTTAGGCCACGGGGTATTAATTGGGCCAATTAAGCACGTGTTGTGACATTGGGTGTCTGAATTATATTGGTGCTCGTGGTGCATTGCATTACATAACATGGACACGCATTGCGTATGCCAAGAGTGAGGCATGTGATGAACTTGCGCGAGAATGCGTGTCTGCCATGAGCATGTGATCACCTAAAATACCCTGAAGCGTTATACGCTGGGTTCAGATAATAATAAGTTGTGTGATCACCTAAGGACCTTTGGGTCATGACCTTCGGGCCGATACCGTCCTCATGCACTTTGAAGCAGGACGATGCCCGGTACGTCCGGAAGGCGACCATCCTCATGCACTTTGAAGCAGGCTCTGGTTCGCAAGGAGAACAGTGTTGCGCCTCATGCACTTTGAAGCAGGCTAGAGACACTGGGCCAGATCGGTTGCTGCGCCTCATGCACTTTGAAGCAGGCTAGACGCACCGGGCTATGAAAAATTGATGACTCAAGTCGTAATAAATAATAAATTGGGCGATTGCCAGTGTGCCAGTGTGGGCCAGTGGGCCGGGGAAATACCCGTGACATGTCGACGACATTTGCATGCATCAACATGCATGGACTGGCATGCGAGTGTGTGAGCCTCGATGCATGAGCATGTGATTGGCGTACGTGTGATAATATGTGCCACGTACGTTCCGTGATTATTATATATTGAACTGCCTAACCTGCAGGGTCGGAGGATTAATTGATTATTGTTGCACTATGGTTTCACTTATTTATTTTCCGGTCAGGAGATTGCATGCTAGCCTAGCCTAGGTTTAGGGGTTGAACTCATTGAGATTCGTCTCACGGTTGTGTAAACCGAAACATTTCAGACCCCCCAGCCGTAGAATGTCGAGGGCATCACCTCTTTTTGGGATACCGCACAATATTCAGTGGTCGTCAAGCGTGCACCCCTGTGGTGATGGAGCAGCCTATGTGAGATATTATGCTGTTTTGTTTGTAAATGTGGGAGAGGCGCACTACCACACCCAAGAATATGTGGCTTGGTGCTATCGAGGAGCCGACGGAGCAATCGGACCCCCGCTCAGGACCTTTGATGTCCCGGTAGACGTGAATAATGTCATGATCCCACAGATGGTAAGTGGTGAGATTTCCGATCCTCCAACTACGCCTGATTGGAGCAGCCAAGGCAAAACCGTGGACGGACCTGCTGCTATGGTCGAGGAGGCTGAGGAACCTAAAGTGTTGTATGCTGATCCGGAACCCTTGGACCACCAGAATGAAGAAGAGCCGGTAGCCATGGAAGTAGATCACGAACAGGATGGAGAGGTTGAGGAACTGGGATCCGATCAAGAAATAGGAGCCGAGGACGAGCTGGGATTATACTTAGACCCTGAGTTAGAACCGGATTCGGTGGACGAGAGTGATGCAACAGAGGACATGGATTCCGAGGAGTCCGAGTCCCAAGAGAGCTCGATAGAGGAGTCCTCAGGGTCCGACCCGGACTGGGGCCCCTAGGTTAGCAATACTCCTAAGTAAAGCAAGTACACCTTTTTGACTGAAGCCTGTCTTAGTCCCATCCAGTACCCCTAGCCACCGACCCTTTTGACCTAGAGGCTGCTATTATGAGTGTTGATTGCTTGTTGTTGTATAAACGAATATTGTAAAAAGGTTTTTATAGCAATGTAAGTATGTACCTATTTTCTACTGCGATCGTGTTTATTGCTTGGCTATCCTTGGCTCGTATTTTATAATTGTCAGGGTTGTTTATTTAATCGCTTCCGCTTGTGCTTGTTCTCTGTTGGGCGTTGGGTCGGCGACGCTTCCTGGGATGTCGCACTGCAATCGACCAAGGTAGGGATGTTAGCGCTTCGTAGGGTACGGGGCGTGACATTGACTCTTTAATCTCAGCTGTTAGAACTGCGATATGAGCTATTTGGTTTGGTTTGATTTGGTTTGGATTGTCACTGTACTGTCGTATACGCCGTAATTGAAGCTTTATTTCATTTGCCAAATTGTGTTAATATTATAAAAAATCTAAAACTGATACATTTGTGATGAATTTACCCTAAACTAATTTTTTACTGCTAAAATCCCTAAACTGGTACACATGTGATAAATTTACCCTCTGTTAATTTCCGTTAAATTTTACTGTTAAATTGCTGAGTTAGATAATACATAGTAATTGACACATGTTTAGGGTTTTACACAAGTTTACCAATTTTTTATTTTTCGTGGTATTAATCTAATTTAACGGAGGGTAAATTTGTCACAAGTGTACCAATTTGGAGTTTTTTGTGGTCAAATAATTAGTTTTTTGTAAATTTATCATATGTGCACAAGTTTGTGATTTTTGGTAGTCAAAACATTAGTTCGGGGTAAATTTATCACGAATGTACCAGTTTAGGGTTTTTCATGGTATTAATTTCACCAAATTCAAATATGAATATGAATAGTAAAAGAAAAGGAACTAATTGGATATTTTAATTTAGGTTCCGTTCATTTCACGGAAAATAACTTCCGGGAAAACGTTTTTCGGGTTTTCCGGTGTTCGTTTCACGGAAAAAAAACTAACCACGGAAAATGTTTTCCGTGGATGGACAAAACACCTTCACTTTTAAGGAAAATGTTTTCCTCTTTTTAAAAAGAGTAA